TACCCTGCACATTTTTGAGTCATTAAAAATACACATTTTCTGTCTCAATTTTACGGTCAAACCCTGATTTATCGGACCAAAAGAAATGTGTAAATTTGCAGTTTCCAATGACTCTCAAGCTGTGGAAATCGCCAAACTTTAGCGGTCATATTCTTTCCAATCTTTGGAATAATATTATCATATTTCAAATATTTCAACCAAAATTGACGGAAACACAAAATTGTGCAGTTTCTTAAAAATCACTGTACTGCTGTATTTCAAAATATCACTATCCGTGTATTGAAAAATAAATTAATGCAACATTAATATTGCTATTTAAGGAAGGTGTTCGCTATTTAAACCTCCAGGTGTAGACATTTTTTAACTTATAAGAAGACACTCGACATTTCTTATAACCCTAGTTCGATTCTTCGGAAGTTCTGTTCAATATTGAAATTCAACTGTTCAATTATATTTAGGTTGTGTCCATCGACTCTGTCAACCCCCCCCCCCCCCTCCCAGGTAATAATTAAGGGGGCTCCAGTGTAGGTTGGTGGGGGCGGGGGGGGGACCATTCAGTTGTAAATTTTCAGTTTATGAGTCGTCCCCCAAACCCTCTTTACGATCATGGAAGGGTCACTCTTGATGTATAGGTTGTGGTCCCATCCTGTTGGAACCATGTTTTCCATACTTCTCCAAAACTCTCTCGGCACGCTTAGATTTCTATTTGAGGTGACTGTTGTGGTTTTACCGTCCTTTTCCTGAAACAGAACGGGCCGACCACACCCCTGTAGTTGGACGTTTATGAGAAGTAAATTTTACACTTTGTTTTGTAATTGATGTTTTTACTAAAACAGTCCACTACCATCGAAATGTCTTAAGTGTTTGTTTGAAGTATATTTCCAATTTTTATTTGAGTTCTGACGGTATAAAGATATAGTGCAGAGTTAAATAAAGCTCAATTAATTGCTTCTGCTCTTCAATGACAGTTAATTTACCACAATCGAGAGAGAGAGAGAGAGAGAGAGAGAGAGAGAGAGAGAGAGAGAGAGAGAGAGAGAGAGAGAGAAAGAGAGAAAGAGAGAGAAAGAGAGAGAAAGAGAGAGAAAGAGAGAGAAAGAGAGAGAAAGAGGGAGAAAGAGAGAGAAAGAGAGAGATAGAAATAGATAGATAGATAGATAGATCGATAGATAGATAGATAGATAGATAGATAGATAGAGAGAGAGAGAGAGAGAGAGAGAGAGAGCGAGAGAGAGAGAGAGAGAGAGAGAGAGAGAGAGAGAGAGAGAGAGAGAGAGAAGTAGAGAGTAACAGAAAGCCATTCAAAACAGAAGCCTGCAACTCGTGTGCTACAATAAAAACAAACTACACACACTAAAACATATTATATTCATTTAAAAGATTGATCACGAAACTCCCGCACACTGCACGTGTCCAGTAATTATCATAATATTAATATGTTTCAGGACAGAGATCTTATTATTGTACAAAAGAGCTAACAGATAGCGGACAAACGGGGACATCGGTGTTTTCAATCTGTTCAGATTTCTTTCAGTAATCTTTCCTCACACAACACGAGTGTCAGGACAGTGTAATGTAATGTTAGTTTGTTTCAGTGGAGGTTTTACGCCGCTCGCAACTGCATAAGGTCATATGACCTCCGGAAGATTAGAGGAGTTACAAGAGAGTAACAAACATAAAAAGGAGGGGAGATAAGGACGATGGATGTTTGATAGGACAGAAGAAGCAAACCACACCAGAGCACCCGCCAAGCACCCACGATGTAATGTTAAAGGCGCTTCCATGTAAGATGGAAGGTATTTGGTGGGTATACAGAGTGAGTCTCACGTCTTCGGCAGCTGTGAATAAAATAAAGTGAAGGGGAAGTTCATGAGATTCGGAAGTTTGGTCAGGTTAAGAAATATCACATGAAACGGATTAGTCCGTTGCTTGATTTATTCTGGGTGGCAGTTTATTTGTTCATTCATTTTTTGATGAACATGAGAAACAAAGTGGAAGGGGTTTATTTTTCTTCGTTTTTTCCCGGTGATTTTTGCTTTAATATAATGAATTAATAATGGGACTAACGGGTAACGATTTTGGTCAATTTTCGGTGAAATTATCGATTTTCTGGAAAGCAACTTTTTAAGACCTTATATCATTGCTGAATCAAATTTGTCGTTCCATTTGGTAAAAATTGATACAATAGATGAAAATATGTCTCAAACGACCTTACCCCCCTCTTGCAAAAACGACTGCTTGACCACTTCCTCCCCCCCCCTCTTTCTATCTCTCTCTCCCCCCCCCTCTCTCTCTCTCTCTCTCTCTCTCTCTCTCTCTCTCTCTCTCTCTCTCTCTCTCTCTCTCTTTCATTCTCTCTTTTTTTTTGGTTTCATTTTTTGTCTGCTTGGCTCAGTAAAGTTCTAGTTATGAGGTTATTTGTAACTACAGAAATGAGATTGTGCATGTGATAAGAAATGATAGTGTATGTGGTACTGGAAGGAAGTAGCTCTCAAGTGACAGAGTGACAGTTTTAAATGCTATTAAATTTTATATATATATATATATTTTTTTTTATATATATTTTTTTTTTACAAATCTTTATTTTTGAAAGACCCCATGCCACTAAAACACTAATATCACACCTACGAACCAAGATTCTGTGATGCAACTTTTCACTCATGCGCAGATTTGGTTGTTATAGGTCGTTGATTAGTTGTTTCCTTTTTTGTTTTCTTAAAAAAAAAAATAAAGTTAATGCCTCAGAAGTCTGCTTTTGAAAGTCATTTTACGCTCAAAATTTCAACCAAAAAAAGGTACCTCACTATCAAAGTAAAAAAAAAATTCCAGAATATTGGTAGAATGTTAAACAAATATTAGTCAGTTACGTATACGTATTGCTACTAAATTTATATTTGTAAAAATTAAAAGTAGTATACTGCCTCTTGGCTTTTAAAATATTAGGATTTTCTTAAATGTTATATAATATTTTAAATATTGCTGTCAATATTAAATAACATTAGATTGGGATGGAAACTTTTAATGACGTTTTGGATTATTTCCTGTAAGTTTGGTTTGAAACGATGAATTGATAATGAAAATAGCTTTTGTAAATAGCTGAAAGATCGTTTGCCCACCTTGCTCCATCAGTTTGGAACTCTCTTCCCCAACCCTTGAGACACACAACATCTGAGTAGTAGATTTTTACTCTAAATTCTTCTAGGCATACTACCTTTTCTCATTGGCCCTTTAACAGCTTAATATCTCCATATATATGTAAAATTTTGATTTCTCATTTTCCAAACGACATATTATTTCTCTTTCAATCCTCTCACATTTCTAGTCATTGAAGTTTGAGCCTAGTATTAGTATCAGACACTACCTTTCGGACTAACCACCCTAAACATGTCCAGATAAAACTTCTGCGAAACCGAGAATCGCATTCTTACACTCAATAACAATAATACATTTTATTAATAAGCCAATGTTTGATGATGGCCAATGCAAACTTCACATGAGAGTGTATCATTCTCAAATAATGACAAAAGAGACTAATTTGGCAGAGACATTGAAGTGTGTGTTTGTAACAACATAATGATATTAGCAATTACACACTTCAACATAAGTTAAGGACCACCCTGACAGGCAGCCCTGCTTTTTTTTAAATTCGAAAAAAGACACCAAGGAATGTTTCAAAATGTTTGGCTCTGAAAGTGTTCATGAGTTACCAATGCGAACTGCAAAGCTTCCTAAAGGGGCAAAACCACCACGTGCAGCACAGAAATCCCCGGGGAGTTTTAGACAAATTTTCTGTTGTTTATCGACTTGTGTGCAATAGCTTGGACATTCCTCAATTAAAATTTACGGTGCACATCATAAACGGACGTCCGGTCTCGAACTGTGCTCACTTTGGTTGCAATGTAAGCCGCCGTTTGAGCAAAATCTACTATCGCATCAATGTGCCAGCTGAAAGACATTGATCGTGCCAAAGCTATGGCACGGCTGCAAGATGGAGTTGGAGCCCGAGAAGTTGCCAGAAGTCTTGCAGTGTCACACTCTGTCATTCTCCTCCTGAGGCGGCGCCATCAAGCCAATTGATCAGTCCAAGAAAGCCTACGTGCAGGTCGACACAATAAGACCCCTCAGAGTGTTTGCAAGGGGTCCTTAACTTATGTTGAAGTCTGTATGATGAGTTCCATTTTAATCGACCACATTTACATTCTCCACCGAACAAACACCTTTGCAGGTATGTTTTCTGTACTTATTAAAAAAAAAAAAGAAACAATGTTTTGTTTTTAAAGTTAAAAAGTGGTGCCACGAATACAAGAAAACGAAAAGTCTTGAACTTGCCAACTTAGCAACTTTTTTTTACTTCCAGGTGATTGAACTTAGTAATATTTTTGGCAGTACATTTTTCACATTTTGAAGGGCAGAAAATGCCTGAGTTTTATTTAACCCTTTAATTTATCTGATCCGAAGACAAATAACATTTAGAAGTAAGCTAAAGAGCAACGCTAAAACGGTTTCTGTAAGAATTTAGTGTTTTAATAGAAGAAAGTAATGACCAGGCAAAATATGTTCCAACATTATGCATTGCTGTTTATCTCAAAATGTCGGATGTGTCAGCTAATTATGAAAACAAATTTTCTTTGTCTGGGGTGCGAGAATGTGGGGTTAAGAATCACCTAACGTATCAAGTAGCCCAGAGATCTGGCATCACAAGTGCTTGACGTAAAATCTCGACCTGAAAGACTTCTATAAATGTCCACTCACAAGTCCACAGAATCACATCTCACAGATACCCTCTCTCAGGTACTACTGATGGTTTGTTCTTTCAGCTGCTTGATGATACCATCATGAGGTTGTGTTCGTCTATCGACTAATTGTTTTTTTTTTTTTATTGAGTATCTTGATCTTTCTGCTGGGATATTGTATCCCTTTCAGCTTGGCTTGACCCTGGCAAGGCTTGGCCGGAAGTCTAGGTGCCAAATAATTATCTAGATCTAACACATTAAAACATTAGATAACTTTTCTCCCTCCATGTATTTCCCAGCATGCAGTTCCTGGCTCTCTTTCTCCTTGTGGCCCCTGTGGCTTACACTGTGGCTGCCCCAGACCCCTCCACCATCTGTCTGCCAGAAAAGAGTACCGCAAGCGTCTTTGGCTTGATCCAAAAAGTAAGTATCCATAATAATAATAATAGTGATAATAGTAATAGTAATAATAATAATAATAATAAATTTTTATAATAATAATAACAATAAAAATATTAATAATAATAATGATTGTATTAAAATAGTAATTGTTTACACAGTTGTCTCAGTTTGCTTTGGAATTACCTATTATTCCCTTGAGCTCATCTTTAACTCCTTCTCCCCCGTTCTCTTTCTCCCATTCAGCAGGGGAACGTTTTTGTTTATGCATTCCTTTTGAGAAAAAGGGGGGGGGGGTAAACTTACATTTCAAATCGAATTTGAAAACGGGGGAAATTTAGAACATGCCCTGAAATGACGATGGGACAAGCATCTGAATTTAATCTGGTTATCATCGTTTATTTCAGTTCCAAGCCAACGTGTCTATTGACTTCTCCCAGAACAAAGTCGCTGCGGTCACTGAGCTGGGAACGAGAGTGTCAGATCTCAACACCGTAAGCACGGGAAACATTTCTGCATTTTGATCTTTCCCTTGTTACAACAGCTCTTCAAGCTTAAAACTCTTTATCATTG